AAAGTGGTGTTTTGGGGTAGGGACCACTTCCTCCAGGACCATCCTGAGCCTAGTTTGCCCCTTGAGGAAGTGTTTTTGGTAAAGACTCTTGACTCAGCCAGACCCTTGTTGGAAAGAATGGGACACACGAAGGACTGCAGTCAACTTCTGGGGCTGTCTCTGGCCCATGCTGTGATGCCCAGTGGAGTGTGGGGACAGAGTGGGGAAGGAGACAGCCAGATACCTCTCGGTTCAAGCTGCTGGTAGAAAAATGGTGCAGGACCCTGGGGGAGGGGTGCACAGAGCCAGCATCAGGCCACGTGCATGCTGCATGCATGCGCTGTGGCTGCTCAGGCAGAGCCAGGCTAATTGAAGCAAATGAAGGGACAGGAGGCCTCTCAGGAAAGGTAAATAAAGTGACTCACCTGCTGGGCCAGGCACTGGAGCCTGAAAGGGGCCTTCTCTGCCACCCTCCTAACGCCACCCTCCCTGCCACCCTCCGAAAGCCACCACCTGGGAGCAGCAGGGAGGGACTGAGGAGGAGACCTGCAGGAGACTGGGTTCCTCTGGCCCAGGTGGGTATTTGAATTTCTAGGACTGGTGGGAGACAAAGGGCTGGAAGCCAGTGAAGCCGGCTGCACCTGCTAGAGACCAGGGGGTTCTGATCTTGCAGCCTTGGACAGCTTATCCCAGACCTCGGGCTCTAGGCCCCCAGACCCTGATCTCTGGGTGCCTGGGTGCCTGGGTGCCTGCTGTGGGCACAGAGCCACTCCAAGCCAGCACATGAGAATGTACACTCTCCTTCACGCCAGCTGAGCTCAGGGTTGGTGACTGCCTTGGGGGATGCAGCTCACTTGGGGCCTCCTGACAGCCCTCCCCATCCTGAGTCCCTCTGCCCTTGTTCTCCTTCACCCTTGTCCCCATCTCTGTCCCCAAGGGAACTGGAGCTACCTGGTACAGGCAGGGGAAGAGGTGGGAGCCAGGCAGGTTCACCTAGCCAATGAACATGAACCATGACCAGACAGCTCCACAGTGCTGGAGAAAACTCTCCACCTCAGCTCAGGGTCCATTTCAGGGGACCCCATCCCTTTTTCATGGTTCTCTCCCCTCCCCCAGGGGTGCTGGGTGCTATCCAGCAAAGTGTGTGAGTGTGCACCTCAGAGGGACACAGCTTGTGAATGTGAAGAAAAGGGGATGCACTGTATGGCGGGTATGTAATTGTTCAGTGTTCCAGAGGAATGTGTGTGAGGAGCTGCGTGTGCTGTTAGAAGGAAGAAGACTTGCACGTGGTCCCCCAGAATCTCGTGGATGGACATTCATACCATAAATGAAGATGGAAACTGAGAGAAAGAAAAAAGACACTGACCATCAAGGATCAGACTTGAGAGTTGATCTGTGGAGACTGACTAGAGGAGGGGACCTTCAGCAGAAAGGCAGCTCCAGACAGTCTCCCAAAGGGAGTGAACCTGAACATAAGACTGGAGGAGACTGGGTAGAGCTCAGGCTTTAGGGGACAGGAAACGTCGAAAATACAGCCACATGTGGCAAATTCCAGTTCTTGGGAGGTGAGGGCAGGATGATAAAGAATTCAAGGCCTGGAGCTACACAGCAAGTTCAAGACCAGCCTGGGCTGTCTCTTGTAAGAGACTTTCAAGAAAACAAAGCAAAACCTTAAGGTGCTGTGGGTCACGGCACACACCTTTAATTCCAGCATTTAGGAGGCAGAGGCAGGCAGGTCTCTGTGATTTTGAGGCTAGCTTGATCTGCATGGTGAGTTCTAGGACAGCCAGGGCTATGTAGAGAGACCCTGTCTCAAACAAACAACAGCAAAACCCTTCAGGGCAGAGGATACAGAGCAATGGTCAAATGCTTGCCTACCATGTGTGAAGCTGTGTTTAATCCCACAAGAAGGCAGAATGCATGCTGGGTAAAGTGGTGTGCAAGTGGAATCCCAGTGCTGGGAAAACAGGAGGATCCCTGGGACTTGCTAGCCAGTCAGTCCAGTCTAAGTGATAAGAGCTTCGGGCCAAGGAAAGCCATGTCTCAAAGGAGGCAGGCGGATGGTGTCCTGGAGATGGCATTCAAGGTGTTTCCCTAACTTCCACTTGTGCACATGCCTGTGCACTTGCACACACGTAAACATGCACACATGAACACATGTAGGCATACAAAAAATATAAGAAGGAAAAGAAGCAAGGCAGACGATGGAAGAAAGCAATTAGTAATTCCAAGGGGGAAAAATAGAAAAAACAATTTATCACATGGTTCACTTTTGAATACAAATATAAACATCATAATGTAATCATTCAAATTTGATATAACTAAAATTGTAGGGAAAACGAAACTATCTATGAGGGCTGGTGATGTAGCTCAGCTGTAGAGTACCTGCCTAGCATGACCCTCAGCATAGATTAGATGTGGTAGCTTATGCCTATGATCCCTAAATTTACAAAGTTGGAGGAAGAAGGGTCAGAAATTCAAGGTCACCCTAAGCTACATAGCAAGGGTGAAGCCATCCTGAGATCCTGTCTGAAGAAAACAAAGACAAAAGCAAAACCACTGTTGGGGCTGGAGAGATGGATCTGTGGTTAAGAGCACTGGCTGCTCTTGCAGAGGACTGGAATTCAGATTCCAGCACTCCTATCAAGCAACAGCTCACAACTGACTGTAACTAGTTCCAGGGGATTTCTCTGTCTGTCTGTCTGTCTGTCTGTCTGTCTGTCTGTCTGTCTCTCACACACACACCACAAAAGGCACACACCTTTAGTTTCAGCACTATGGTCTACATAGTGACATAATGAATTCCAGGATAGCCAGAGCTACACAGAGAAATCCTGTCTTGAAAAACCAGATAGATAGATAGATAGATAGATAGATAGATAGATAGATGAATAAAAAATAAAATTTAAAGAGAAGACACAGCACAGGAACAGCCCAAGCTTTTATTAGGGGTATAGCAGAAAACCAATAAATGAAAACTCAAGGAGGGCTGGCTGTGGTTGGCATATACCTTTAACTTCCAGAATATGAGAGGCTAGTTTGTCTGTAATTTCATCGTCACCATTGGCTGAAAGCACATGGTAATGCATGTGGGTTGCCTCTTATGCAGCACAGGTGGAGTGGGCACACTGATCCACGAAGGTGTTTGCCTCCTCTTGCTCACTTTTCTAGCAACTAGGCCTGGTAGCCCTCTGGATAGCTCAGGGTTACAAGTGTCATTTAGTGGTGACAGCAGCTTCAGGATGGGCCTGCAGCCGGGGTGGATGGGAGACCGGCTGCAGCCACTTACACCCTGATCCTGTCCCTCTCCTCAGGGGGAAAGATGCAAAGACCTCATCAAAGTTCTCACCCTGTGCGATGAACTCTGTGTAAGAGGTGGGGGCCCTGTGGCACTGATTCCATGTGGTAGCCCTGGGCAGGCAGGGAGGGAAGATGGGCTTGTAGGGGTGGGGGCCAGGGAACAACAGGCACACCTCCCTTGAGCAGGTTAGACCCATCTACCAAATCCTATTTCTCCCACCCCTGCTCACCTTTTGGCCCAAGTGACCCCTCAGCATTCTCCGGGGCCACCCAGCATATGAGGCTCCATGCAGAGGGCACAGGTACTGGGATGCCCTTCACAGCCCTCCCTTTGCTAAGGCAAAGGGCTCCTGGGGAGCTAAGGCACAGCACATAGGCCTAGGTGGCTGGGGCCACAGGGGAAGAATGGGAAACCCACAGTCCAATACAGGGCCGATCCAGCTGTTAGGAGCCCCAGTTACATTGCTTTGATACACGCAGGGGCATTTGGGGACATCCAGCGCTGTCTGGCACTGAGCTCACTGTATTGGGCTAACCTTGTCAAGTGAATCCAGGAGTGATTAACAGTGGCAGCTGGTACTTAGCCTGGGAAACCACACAGGAAGCAAGTGCTAATCACTTTAAGAGGTTGGGATATGACAACTTTGCTGAAGGTCATGTGTGTGTCACCAGCCCAGCCAGAGTCCAAGCCCATTACCCCTCCAGGAAAGGCTGGGAAGCCCCTGGAAATGCTCTGGCATAGTTGGGATGAAATCAACACCACTAGGAGGCAGAATGACCTCAGGTTAGGATGTTGCCTGATCCCTGATCCCAGTGGGCACGCTGGTATCCTGGGTTGTTTGCCTACCCACCTTGTCCTGGTATCCCCTGAGCTGTCCACATCCCTTCCAGTCCCGACAATGGGAAGCAGATTGGGTAACCCACAGCCTAGGACACTGAGCTTCTTCAAACAGCCCAACATGCCCCAGGGAACTGACAATGCCAAGTCATGGGGGTGGCTTGGCACCTAGATCAGCTTTCTCACTGCCCTGTATTGCCTGCACCTCCCTGAGGAGACTTGTCTTGCCCAGCCCACACGCAGGAGATGCCTCTGGGGGCCACTTGAGCCCCGGAATACTCTTCTGGGAAAGCATGGTCCTGAAATAAATCCCGTTTTGGCATCTTCTTGGGAGCAGGAGTGTTCCAGGGCTGTTTCCATGACTGAAGGTCAAATGCAAACAGGTCTCTCCTGGGCCCAGCAGCTGCCCCTGGACAGCACAGGAGCCAATGCTCCTCAGAGTCCACAGACCAAGCCAGCAAGGAGTTCAAGGTGGCCAAGGAGTGCCACATGAGGAATGGCACCTTAGAGAACATGAGAGTCTGGTTTCACCACTCACCAGACTGCTCTGGGGTCCAGGGGCTCAGAGACCTCCAGGGCTCAACGGGCCTGAGTTTCCAGGCCTGTGCAGCTGTGTGGGCTTCAGGGTAGGGCCTAACAGACTGCTAAGAAGCCATTTTCCAGTGCCACCCGCCTTTATTCACAGACCCTCAGTCTCCAACACAGACACTTGGATTCAAGAGGGCACAAGAAAAGGGGGCCTTGGTGATCCTCCCAGTACACCCCAGAAAGCCAGGACAGGCCTGGCAGCACCACTCCTTCAAGGTCAGCCTTAGTGCCCCTGCTCAAGGGCACTGCTGTGACCACAGGGCTACAGGTACCAGGAGACCAGGCCTGGTTGCTAGAGGCCCCTTCAGGGAGCCAGAACTGTCCTAGGCTCAGAGCTGATTCCACTCTGAAACTGAGGCAAGAAAGGGGCAAGTGGACAGTGGGGATGGGGGGGGGGGCTCCCCAAATGTCCAGGCCAGAAGAACAGCAAGTATCCATGGAGAGACCCAGACTGGATGCAGGTGGGACTGCACATGTCCTAATTTCTGGTCATTCAAGGTTCCAACAGAGGTCCCTTTTTTTCCTTTCTGACCTTAAGTAGCCAGGAAGGCGAGAGGAGAGGCATGGCAGGTAACAGCAGAGAGGGTTGGGTCGGCAGGGCCAGGTGCTACCCAAGATGCAGCTGGCCAGGGGAAAGGACAGGAGCTGACATGGCCAGACCCCTGTTCCCCCAGTGACAGGGGCAACTTGAGACCCTGGAGAGGAAAGGAAGGGCCTTGGCCATCAATCCTGCTGGCTCTGGGGATTGTGGCCTGCTAGAGCACACTCTCCTCCCCCCTCCCAGAAGCAGAGCCACCGGAACAGAGGAGACCAACATCAAGTGCACCCTGATCTTCTGGAGGCCAGGGGAGGGGCGCCAGGCACTCTAGGACTTCTTGGCATCCTGCGTGTTCCGGCGCTTCAGGTCACTCAGGTCGATGGGCTTGAAGGCTGTCAGGAGACAGTCTGGTTGGTGCTGGAAACAGAACCCTCACCCAGTCACCACTGCTGGAGGCTCCCAAACCCAAATGCCTTGGGAAGGACAACAGTGCAGTCGGGAAGCAGGGGCCTTCCCTCCAGGGCTGCCCTACTCACTCTTGAGGCTGGGGTTGGGAACCTTCTCCACATACTCCTCCACTAGGCCCCGCTCACCACCAGACAGCTGGCTGCGCAGGTCCCGCTCAACACCCTGCCAAGCTGCAACAAGAGGACACCTGGTTCAGAGCCCTGCCGTGTTCAAGACACCAGAGCATCTATAGAGTCTGTCCCGATGCGGGGCCAAGCATGCAGAGTGTCTGCCCTGACACCCCTGTTTCTACCAGTCTGCTGTCAGCTGAGCCCCAACCGTCCTCCCTCTGCACAGTTCTTCCTGCAGGCAGGCCAGTGCCTTCTGTGTGATGGCCACACCGAGCTGCAGAGGGCCACATACATGCCTTAGAGGGCCCTACCATCCCCACCTCTACCCACCCTACCTCTCTGTACATTTGTTCCAATTCCAACCACACCACCTCTGTCCACTTGAGTGACACTGTGTTCACAGCTACTTTCTCTCCCAAGGAAGTCTCTAGGCCTGAGGACTGACTCCAAGACACTTCTGGGGTTCTCCCCACCCCCACTTCCTGGGTTGTCATCACATGTCCCTCAGTCACCAGTCTTGCTGGTTCTAGAACTTAAGGCCACAGAGTATGGTGCCCTCTTCACTGAAGGTGACAGAGTGGGACAGGGGGGTATTCACCCACAGAGGACTGCAGAGGCAGAGCACAGGCGCCACTAGCACCAACCTTCATAAATGAAACGCACGTTCTCCTCGTGTGCCGGCGTGAAAATCTCACTGCTGTTGGTGGGAGAGCGTGGGCTGCTGTTTCTCTTGCCGTTGTAGACGACCCTGGAGACAGGAGAGCTGGGGAGAGCACCATGTGTGAGAAGGGATTAGGAGGACAGATGGGGCCCCAACTCCCACACACACCTAAGACCCACCTGGTCATTGCTGGGGTGTCTGGTCCTGGCGCTTGGCTGCTGGATCCTGCGGCCTATGAAACAAAAACCCCAGGCACTGGAGACATCACCTTTCCAGCAGAAAAAGGGGTAAACTCTGTGGCCCTGACTCCCCTGGGGACCCAACCTTTAGGCTGGGCCCAAGACTTGAGTGACTAATGGGCTCCAAGCAATCCTGAACAGATATGGAAGTGTTGGTGTCAGTCAGAGCACACAGAGGGCACAAGCAGGCCAAACCCTGGTTAAGTCAGCCAGGTCTGCCCCACAGGGCAACCAGGACCCTCTCAGTGTGTCCTTCTGACTGTCCACAGGGACTCAGTCTCCTGACTGTCCACAGGGACTCATGGTGAGAAAACCAGCCACCCTGAGCTCAATGACATTTAACAAATGACCCCAGGACACTAGAGAACCAGGAGGAAGATATCCCTGGAGGAAGCAGCCAGGCTGACCCGACCTGTGATCAAAACCCTGGAGTGCAACTTGTTTTCAGGCCAGAGGATTTTTGCTGCCCTGAGTAGGTGGGGTGTCTATGTTTAGGGTCAGATTCTTGTAATTAACCAGCTGAGGACACACTGCCCAATATGAGGAAACCAGTCATACAGGGCTAGTCCTAAGCCTGGCCTCGGTCCAGATAGAGCAGCCCCAGATGCTGAACACAAAGGAGCCCAGACAGTGCCAATCATGCCACACCAGGCTTTCCCAAAGGCTCTTCTATGGTCAGTGACCCGTCATTAACCACTCAGACAGATGAACACCTCGATGGTATCAAGCTAGCTCCTATAAGAGCTCTAGAACCCTGTGCTTCTCCCCAAACCTGGCTCCTAGCCCCGACTCTCTCAGTCTTTCCCAAAGCTGCCAGCCCAGGACATCAAAGCACAAGAAAAGCCCTATGAGGTGTGATGATGGCAGTGAGACAAGGTGGGGAAGCTCCTACAGGCCAGGACAGAGCAAGGCAGTGCTCAGGGGTCAACCCCTGCCTTAGCTTCCAGGGTCCTGGCTGCCTTCTGCCCCTGCAGATACCCTCTTCTGTCCATGATTCCTTGCTGCTTGGCAGTGTCTGTCCCCTAGGCCACCATTCCCCGGTGCCTCTCCTACCCAAACAGCCTCAGGCTCAGGTGGTCACATCCTCCAATGCCTCTGCCTGGGTGTCCCTGCTGGCACCAGCCCAGCTGGCAGCAGGCTTTATGTTTGGTGAAGCGGAGAGAAACCTGAGCATGTTTACCGGCAAGGAATCAAGTAGATGATACCGAATGAGCAGGGCCTCTAAAAAGGTTGGATGTACTGGGGTCCAGGATCAAGCCAGGTACAATGGGCTGAGAATGGCAGTCTGCAGAAGTGCCAAGGGTGTCTAAAATCCTTACCACACTGCAGAGAGGCCTCTGAGATCACAGACTATTGGTCAGCAGACCAGGTAAAGGGGGTGGTAGTCTAACAGAGGCTATCCATATGAGGGGGCACCATCTGTCCCCTGGGGCTCCCATCAGGATGACAGAAAGGACAGAGGTCACACAAGGCCACCTCAAGCTCCACACCCAATACTTCCTTGCCCTGTTTTTCTTCTCTCTTTCTGTTACAAGTGTCTCCACAATACCCTAACCACTTGTAACTCATTCCATCAACTCCACAATAATTTTTGAGTCTTTTTGCCATTTGGTTTAATGCTAGGAAGCCCAGGCTGACCTCAAATTCACTGTGTAGTCAAGGCCAGCCATGAACTCATGGTTCTCCTGTCTTCACCCCCCAAGTGCTGAGATTACAGGCATAAACTATGCCTGGCACAACTCCACAAGACCTTTTTCTCTGTATCTTTGAATTTGTTGCCCTAATAATCCTGAACATCAAAGCCTAGCAGCATACTTTTCCTATAAACCTAGGGCCTTGTGCTTGCTAGGCAAATATGCTACCTGAAGTGTAATCGCTTGCTTCTTTACTTTTGAGACAGGGTCTAAGTTACCCAGGCTCTTGGAACTTACTGTTGACTTGGATTTGCAATCCTCTTGCATCGGCCTCCTGAATATCGAGATTACGAGCCTGTGCTACCAGGATCCACTGTGTTTTGTTTATTTTAGTGAACTGGTAAGGCACAACTAACAAGGATGGTATCTCAGATCTGATGACCCTCAGTGACAGACCCCTGGGCCAAGGACTCCATCAGCATATCACCTGTGGTCCTGCCCTCCTGTGACTTGCACAACCTGTCCCCGCTTCCCCTAGCTCCAGACACAAACAGTTGGCAGTACAGCCGCCTAACACTTTTCACCACTTCCCAGGGAGAACCCCTTGAGCTGTACGTATGTTGTCATAAAGTTCTTGGTCTGTGCGTTTCTCACATGTCACCAGCCACTATATTGCGGCCTATAGCAGTCAGTTATAAACTTGTTTCTTGATGAAAGGCTACACTTGCCAGCCTCCCTTGCAGACGATGTCATTTCTGCCCCATAAGGGGCCACATCCCATCCTCCTCTGAAGGCACACCAGGGTGACAAAGCCCTCTCCGGGAATAAACATGGTCCCACTTAAGGTCAGACCAAGTCTTTTTTTCTCCCTTCAGTTTCTCTACAGAGGCCTTTAAAGAGTCTAACAGAACCAGAACCATTTTCTACTCCCTGATCTTCCGTCCAGGGCCCCTAGGCCAGAAGTACCCTGGACAGAGGTCCTCCATCCCCTCTGTGGCCTAAAGATAAGGGCGTAGGCTCCCTCAGTAAAAGTGAAGCGGTCACCAGGGACAGTTACCAGGTCCTCCTGCTCCAATGAAGATTAAAGCATAGCCACATGAAGCCTATACCTCAATTGAGGGACCTGCAGCTCTTCAGCCAACATGACAATGGACACACAGAGCCATACTGCATTACCCCAGTGGAAACTGATCACAAAAGAGATGCTATAGAACACTGGGTATGAGATAGAAAATGTGGAGACAGCTCATTCTCTTTTTTTGGTTTTCCAAGATACAGCTTCTCTGTATAGCTTTGGAACCTGTCCTGGCACTCGTTCTGGAGACCAGGCTGGCCTCCAACTCAGAGAGATCTGTCTGCCTCTGCCTCTGGAGTGCTGGGATTAAAGGCGTCCACCACCAATGCCCAGCCTTACACAGCTTATTCTTTTTCTTTTGTTCTTTTCTTTTTTTTTTTTTGAGACAGGGTTTCTCTGTGGCTTTGGAGGCTGTCCTGGAACTCGCTCTTGTAGACCAGGCTGGCCTCCAACTCAGAGAGATCTGTCTGCCTCTGCCTCTGGAGTGCTGGGATTAAAGGTGTGCACCACCAACGCCTGGCTAGACAGCTCATTCTTAAACAAGGTGGAGATGCAGGGACTGAGAACCACACAGGCCACGGCAGACCCTTGGCCAAGGGAGGACCACCAAGGATCTCCTGGGCTGGGAACTCCTATCATAGCTGGCCAGGAAGAAGACATCTGGCAATCCTGTTTCAGAGCACAAAACAGCTGTCACCTAAATGAGGTGATCTGAATGACTCCCAGCCCCCACCCAACCCAGGGCCTTCATGGCCACAGCAACTGGTCAGGGTGCTAGATGCTAATTATCCCTGAGCTTGGCTCAATCCCTGCCTGTATATCCTACAACAGGTCCCTCTCCTCTCTGAAACTCCTGCTTCCCAGTGACACCCACGGGAGTCTGCTCAGTCCTCTATTCCACAGAGAGTTCTTTTTTTTTTTTTTTTTTTTTTTAAAGATACATTCTGCTTCCATGTATATCTGCACACCAGATCTCATAATGGATGTTTGTGAGCCACCACGTGGTTGCTGGGAATTGAACTCAGGACCTCTGGAAGAGCAGCCAGAGCTCTTAACCTCTGAGCCATCTCTCCAGCCCTCCACAGAGAGTTCTTACTGAATGCGTTTATTCTATGTAGAATTATTGGTTTCTATGGGACCCAAGTCCTTCAGAGACTACCTGGAAGGCAAGGCAGGGAGACAGTACAGGGTTCGGGGGATCCAGGACGCATGCCAACTCTTCTAAACACATTCAGTATGCCAAGGACGTGATGCTGGGTGGTGGTCAGACTTTGCTGCCTGACAAAGTGGCAACAGGGGTGGTCCCCCACCAGGACCAAGGGTGCAAAGGCTGGTCACTCTTGTTCATTTGGAATTTCTGCTATCCAAATTTTGGTTCATTCCTTCCCCTCCCCACCCTTTGGCAAAACAGGTCTCACGTAGCCCTGGCTGGTCTTAAATTTCTGATCCTCCTCACTCAACCTCACAAAAGTGCTGGGATTACAGATATGGGCCACCACTCCCAGCTTCAAATTTTCTAGTCCCTCCTTCCATGCCTTGTGTCCTTGACAAATCTTGAGGCTTTTAATGAATGACCAGCCAGGCAGGAGACACAGTGCTGTGACAGGTTGAGCCTGCTTCCAGATGATGGTGGCAGGTCATCAGACCTAGAATGTAAAGTGTATCTGCTTCCTCCCCTGGACAAGCAAACCGAAACATCCCCTAGCTACACCCCGGGCCCCTCATTCTGGAGGACGTGGCTCCTGCTGCCCTGCTGTAGAGAGTGTGTGTGTATATGTGTGTGTTTGCGCGTGTGCCCTGGACACTCCACAAGTCCACTAGCTGATCCCAGGTGTGTGTGTGTGTGTGTATTTATGTGTGTGTGTGTATTTATGTGTGTGTGTATTTATGTGTATTTATGTGTGTGTGTATTTGTGTGTATATGTATGTGTGTGCCTGTGCACGCCCCTGGACACTCCACAAGTCCACTAGCGGACCCCAGGTGTGTGTGTGTATTTATGTGTATTTATGTTTGTGTGTGTGGGTATATGTATGTGTGTGCCTGTGCACGCCCCTGGCCACTCCACAAGTCCACTAGCTGACCCCAGGTGTGTGGGGGTATTTATGTGTATTTATGTTTGTGTGTGTGTGTATATGTATGTGTGTGCCTGTGCCCTCCCCTGGACACTCCACAAGTCCACTAGCTGACCCCAGGTGTGTGGGGGTATTTATGTGTATTTATGTTTGTGTGTGTGTGTATATGTATGTGTGTGCCTGTGCCCTCCCCTGGACACTCCACAAGTCCACTAGCTGACCCCAGGTGTGTGGGGGTATTTATGTGTATTTATGTTTGTGTGTGTGTGTATATGTATGTGTGTGCCTGTGCCCTCCCCTGGACACTCCACAAGTCCACTAGCTGACCCCAGGTGTGTGGGGGTATTTATGTGTATTTATGTTTGTGTGTGTGTGTATATGTATGTGTGTGCCTGTGCACGCCCCTGGACACTCCACAAGTCCACTAGCTGACCCCAGTGCCCTGGGGACCTTTGTCGATCTTGCCCTCTGCCTGAAACGTGGCACCCCGGGGGCAGATCACCGGACCTAAGACGACCTCCCTGGGACCAGGGCTGCCTTGTCAACTCGGGCACGGTGGGTCGGTCCTTCCGGCCACCACCCCGTCCACCTCGCGGACTCCCCGCGGGCAGGCCCCGGGCTTGCGCACAGCCACCGCCCCGGACAAAGGGGACGACGAGGGCGGGGCGCGGGCGCCGGCTGCGGGGCCGG